ATATGTAATTATTTTCAATTTGGGCCCTTATTTGTAATTATTTTCACTTTTCGGGCCCCTATATGTAAATTCCCCAAAATTTTATCAGCTGTTCACGTGATGGTAACATTTTGATAATGCTTTTGGCGGAGATCCCATGGTCTTGCTACATCAAATAATAATGTTTAATAAAATAGAATCATATAATTGCTAGCTTTAGAATATCTAAAGCACGGACATAAGGACGTGCCCTAGGACTAGTTATTTTATATCACACATAATTGTATCTTATTTGCGCGAAGTAACTTCCATGGGTGTTCTTTTGAGATACACAACTTAAAGAGAGGTAATAATTAATTTAACCAAGTGCTAACCATCATTTTTTTTAAAAAGAACTTTGATGAAATTATTTATTAGTTCTAAATTACGTGCCTCAAAATAAACGTCCATGGCGTTATTTCGCGCAAATACGGTATAAACCTAATCCTAACGTACATGCATATCATATATTTTACAGGACTCGTCAAAATTTTAAAATCACGCGTATACTATATAATAAAAAATTAAATAATAATTCTTGCCAACTGGATCAAATATTTTGTATAATTCTGGTAGAGGTTTCAGTGTCAGCCATAACAATAAATTGGGTAATATCAGTAGAAGAGGAAGAAATTCTTTTTTTTTTAAAACCAATTTTAAATTAAATATCCCAACGATTATCCAATCAATTTAATAAGAACTTTTTTATTTTAATTCTATAATTTATATAGAATTAAAATTTAAAAAAAATTTTATGTAAAAAAAATTTGTCCCTTTTCTACTAAATTCCCCCAAATAATGCCAACCATACCACATTCCACTTACATAGCCTGTCATTAAACGTCCTTAATTTTGCAAATGGGACGTCTTCTAATCTTGCCCAAGAACAATCAATAACCGCCAAACCATGATCTTGTATGATTATTCGATCTGCAGGTGAAATAGCTTGTTGTCCTTGTGGACTATAAAGTAGATTAAGCGTTAGGAATTTTAATGTAAATAACCACAGACAAATTTTAAAATTCAAATTCACCTTAAAACTATTCCACGGAACTTTTGTGAAACTTTTAAAAGTTTCACAATCCCTAATCTTGCAAGTTTCTTACCAGAGCATTTTTTTGGATCACAATGTTCAAAATCCTAATTAATCAAGGAATTAATATGCGAGCTATTATCTAATTATTGATTTTGGGTCAGTATCCCGAAGATAGAAATCCAGATGATACTAATCCCAATGTACTAAATCCTGAAAATACAGTAATTTACAGCTTTTCTCATAAATTTTAGGACATCTAGTAAAAAAAAATTGACCGAATGATTATTTGGCCGATTCGATAAGTCTTTGATTCGGTTGTGATAAACATTTAGCCTGTCAATGAAGTGACAGGGCGACCATTATTGCGAGATCAGATGAATTTATGATCATCACCGTTTATTAGATTCAGATTCGTGAAGTAAAATATAAAAAAGGTTATTTATATATACAGTATTATATGTAATAGAGTTGCAGGTAAAACAAATCTTCAATAATGCACCAGATAAACTAGTAAAACTAGTGCATTAATAGTGAACTAGAATTATAGATAAAACTAATCTCCAATGGTGTACCAGTTTGTTGATGAAATTTATTAGTTTCACCAATAACTTTAGTATGTAACGTAATTTGAATAAATATCAATATAAGGGAGGGTCAAGTATTATAGTGCACTTAAGGATTGCTAATAACAAAACTTATAAAAAAACATATTTATTCACAAAATTTATCGAAATAAAATAACATTTGATTTTTTATCTAATAATTAAAGAAAAAAGTTCATATTTAAAAAAAAACTTGATATTTGAAACTTTCAAAATTTATTTATCTAAAAAGTATTTTTTAGTTGGGAAGTATTATGACGCACTATGCATATCAATATTCATATGTATTGCGTTAAGATATCCTTTTTTATCTGCCCCAAAGAGAAAAAAGAGAAAAAAGCATAATAACTACACCATAATACCCAGCTTTCCTTAAACCTTGATCAGAATTGATTAATTTTTGTATCATTCGATTCGTCTCAGTAAAACGAATCGAATGGTACTAAATTTATTTGATTCTGATCAGTGTATCACAAGAAATCATCAAAAAACATGGGTGCGCCACAATACCCACCCGCGCCAGAATACCAGACCCTCCCTTATATAGGGCGCCATAATACCCCAACCAAAAAAAACGTAACAGTTTTCAGATAGCTTTTAAATTCTGGATATCAAGTTTTTTAAAAAAATTTTAAGTTCCTTTTTTGCTTGTCGATAAATATTAAACCGAATATTAGTTTATTTCAATAAATTTTAGGAATAATATATTTTCCTGAGGACTTTTACTAATAGCATTCTTAGGTGCGCCATAATACCCGATCCTCCTTTACGTTATGCCACCTAAATCACCTTAAAAAATTTTCTACTCAACCGGTTGCCGAAACTTCGGCTGCGTCGACTTCTCATTTTAATGATTGTACCAATTTTAATCTTTTTCTTGCGAATGTTAATATTTAAATTTTTATTGAACGGAAAATGGAATAGCTGAATTCATTGTGGTTTGATTAAATGTTAAAAGATGGTGTATTTATTACGTTCATATCAAGGTATCGATTATTTATTTTAAAAGTTTCGAGAATAAAAATAAAGTGGCTATTTTTTCATATCGGATAGAAATTTGTTGAGAATTCATTGTTTATTATGTTTGATATGTAAAAAAATTAAAAGTAATTCTTGAGCGACTTTTATCAATGGTAAATTTTTGAAGAAAAAAGATGGTTTGTAGCTTAATTTATTCAATTTCCGACTATTAAAAATTTGCCTCCGATCCATTGAGTGAGTGAGGTGCTTGAGAACACCCTTAGTCGATAGTTTTAGACCCGATTAATAACACTAGTCTCACATCAATTTTAAAGTGTTTATAATAAAGTATTAGAAAATAACTACATTTAACCAGGGGAATTTCCTTCCCTTAATTATTATTAAAATTTAGGGTCAGGGTGTGATTTTAGACAAAGCCTAGGGTTAGATATTAGGGCCTCAAGTTTAGTTAGCGTAAGGTTTTTTGGGCTCTAAACCATTTTTAATTAGCACCCTTGACGCGTGTTAGCTAGTACGTTTTTGAGATATAGCGCCCCAGTGAAAATTAGCAATACTCTAAATCTTATTAAGAAAATATTCTTTTGCGTTAGAAAGGTCCAAACTGCTGAAAATCAATAATAATATTCGGGTAAATTTCGGCGCGAAAATCTTCCATCACCTGTAATTATTCACCAGTAACGGTAACGGTAATAGTGTTACGGACTGACCCCGACCCATCGGCCGGGCGGGCCAGAGTCGACCCACACCTTCACCGGCAGGGCGGGCCGACTAAGATAAGTTAGGGTTTAAATTGAGATAATTAACTTTTGGCTAAGTTATTAAATTAGATTAGAATTAATCATAGATTCAAGTCAGAATCAAAGAAACGAAAAGATAGTGTATATTTCGGAAATTTTTGAGATGGTAGACAGTCAACCAACATAAACCACGAGCATGGTTGTCGGGAATTTTTGGAGACAATTTGTTCAGTAAAATTACCGAAAAATTACCGAAATTAGGAGTTCAGTATAGGATTATTTTGTGATTTTGGTTTGATTACAGCTGTTTTCATAAATTCTGGAACGTCTGGCAAAAAAAATTGACCAACCGAATATTTGCCGATTCGATAAGTTCGTGATTTCGGTAATGATCGCTACCGAATCAGACCTTAT